TAAAAGAGCGTGGCGCCTTTTATACGACGCGGAGGCTCTAAGAAGCACTGCAGGTTGTATTTAAATTAAATTTTATTAGTTTTTGCAGGTTAATTGACAGCATTTTTTAAAAATATACAGGGTCGTCCGAACTGTATTCCGGAAACTTCAGCAGCATATTCTGTAGATAAAAATAGGTAAAAAAGTTCGTATAAATGTATGTCCTAAAATGCCTAGTTTCGGAGATACAGGGTGTAGAAGTTTCATATTTATTTCGATTTTCCTCAGATAATTTCTAAAGTAACGTCAATATTTGGATGAAAATTGGTGTCTGGGAGTTTTTAGACATGAGAAAATTGATTTTGATGTCAATATGACTCCTATTTGTAAGGAGCACCCTCTACATGCGTTTAAACTGTTTTGAACAGTAATAACTTTTTGTCCGTACCTGTATAAAACTACTGAGTAAAAAAATATACATTTCCGTGTTTTTTTATGTAAAAAATGTCACCTGGTAGAAATCGCTACGAGCAACCGTTCTCAAGATATTTAGAATGAAAATAGTGAAGTAGATAGTTATTAGACTGAAATAATAAATTTGGTAAATTCTTATTTTTTTAAATTAATCAATAATTTTTCTTCAAAAAAATGATTATAAAACAGTTTCTGTTGAACATTTGGCACAAAAACATTTCAAATTTATGACTTCAGTCTAAAAATTATTTAGTCAACATGTTTAATTTATGTCAAAGATGCTAGGTATTTATAATTTCGATTCCAAATACCTCGATAACCATTACTCGTAGCGATTTTTACCAAGAGACCTTTGTTACGTAAAAAACGTTGTAAATGTATATTTTTTCACTCGCTAGTTTTATACAGGTACGAACATAAAGTTATTACTCTTCAAAACAGTTAAAACACATGTAGGTGGCGCCGTCTACAAATAGGAGTCATATTGACATCAAAACCAAATTTCTTATGTCAAAAAACTTCCAGATACCAATTTTCATCCAAATATTGACGTTACATCAAAAATTATTGGGAAAAAAATCAAAGTAAAAATGAAACTTCTACGCCCTGTATCTCCGAAACTAAGCGATTTAGGACATACATTTATACGAACTTTTTTACATATTTTTATCTGCAGAATATGCTCCAGAAATTTTCGGAATACAGTTCGGACCACCCTGTATAGAGTTCTACAGGGTTTCTCCCAAAAAAGTACGCATCAAAGTTGTGTTTTTGTTTGTAATGAAATATCTACCTTATATATTAACTGATTGTCGGATTCTACAAAAAAATAAAAGCGAGATTCATTAAAGAAGCATACCTATTACTAAAATATAAGGTTTTTGATATAACATAACATTTTCTAAAAATGAAAAACAAATTTAAATTTCAATAAAGCTAGGCATAAAATTATTATGTACCGTCTATATCCTGATAAGCACTTAAATTGAAAACTTATCCTCTAGCAGAGAAAATTTAAATAATTCTATTAATTGGTAAATACAGTGCTCTTATTGAAATTTCGGAAATTTTAAATCTGCCAGAAATCGTAGACACAATTAATAGAATCATATCAATTCCCTCTAATGTACGATAAGTTTCCATTTTTGGCAAATTTCTGACCATTTTTTTAATTTTAACTGATACAAAATGATAACTAGTTGTTAAAGGTGAACTAATTTGTCATATGTTGAAGTAACGTCAGGTGTCTCACAGCCACCTAGATTTTATCAAATAATAAAGATCTACTGACACTAAATCATCAAGAAACTAGTCATAGGAACTATCGAAAACAGGAAATTGCCATCCTATCCAACAGTCAAGCAGCACTAAACGTGATCAATTCAGTAACCATCAATCCGAAGTTGGTCAAAGAACGCCTAGAAAAGCTCAAAAAATCCGGCAAAGAAAATAAAGTCCTCCTATTCTGGGTGCCTGTTCACCAAGGGATAGAAGGCAACTAAAAAGCAAATGATCTAGCTAGAAAAGGAGCGAACACTCCACTAACTGGACCAGAACCGTTCTGTTTTCCAATCGGGAACCAACTTGCAAAGCGGAACTAAAGAATCTGGAAGACTCCATCCGTAACTTGGAATGGGTGTCCTCCAACGGTCTAAGACACTCGAAAAAGTTCCTCAGAACTTACAATCGAGAAAAATCAAAGGTTTCCCTTAATTTAAGTAAAAACAATCTTCGAATTGTTACGGGGTTTCTGAGAGGACACTGTCTCCTCAATGAACACCTCAGTAGGCTGAAGCTGAGAAAAAACGGTGAATGCAGATTCTGTGAGGAAAATGGGGAAACACCAGAACACCTTATCACTGAGTGCTCCGAGACGACGATCTTTCGTGCCATGAACTTTGGTACAGCTGATGTCGGGAATCGAGAGCTGACCTCTGTGGAGCCGTCTCAGATACTGGCTTTTGTTAAAGCCCTAAGACTGTATGATGAGTTAGAACTCGTTATAATTCAAGAAAGGGAAACACACAATAGATCTGTAAGGTCGCGGTGATTAACTACCCTCCTAAACATTCTACACTAAATCATAAAAATGAAAATATTTATGAAAATCTTTGTTTGAGGGGTAAGATGCTTTTAAAGTTGATCAATAATTAATATTAAATTGTCTCACCTTGTATAACTTTTTTGGTCAAGTTTTAGTATGATTTAAAGAACAATAGTTATTTTAATAACATATTAGGTTATACTAGGTAAATTCCAATTTAGGTAGTTTTTATTGAAATTTTAAAGTTAGAAAACGTTAAATATGTCAAAAATCTTACATTTTAGTCGTTATTTTCTAACGAAACTCACCATTATTTTTCTGCTAGAATTCGAAAATGAATTAATATATAGGGTATTTCATTACAAATAATACAATTTTGATGTGTAACTTTTTTGGGAACACTCGTAAAAGTCTATGTTTTTAGAAAATGCTCTAAATTAACCTACATATGTTCACAAAATTTAATTTCAATACAAGCTGTCGTTCTCCTTGGAGTCTCCGCGTCGTATGAGTGGCGCCACCCTGTATAATTTTTCTAGAATCCGAAAATTATTTATATAAAAACTTTGATGTGCAACTTTTTAGGGGAATACCTTGTAGAACTTTATATATTTTTAAAAAGTGCTATAAATTAACCTACATAGGCCTCAAAAATTTAATTTCATACAAAACTGCCGTTCTAATGTCAACAGTAATGTAATGACAGTGTGTTTTAGGTATGTCTGCCGTTATACATCATGCTATACATATATTGTATATGTTATGATTGGTTATAGCCTTAATTGAAAGTATAGTAAAGCAGATTTCAGTTAACGTTTCCTTTTTGCTGCCAGTGCTAATCTGGACGGGGCCTACTTTGTTTACGCGGAATCCGAACCGCGGTCCTCGGCCATATCATGGTCGATGGCCTACCGACTTGGCAAGCGTCTAAATCAACTCTTACTCACGAGATATCCGATCTCATCCGGCCTCGAACGGGCGTGAATGAGCAGTGTGTGTCAATAGATTTTACACTTTTGCCTTTCTTGGACAACAGCAGGATACAGAGTTTCGAACCGGTCACCCGTCCATCCACTAGTATCGCCTTACGTCGCTTAACTTCGCTGTTCTAATGGGAACCGGTTTTCGACGTAGCTGGGTCGTTGCCTGCCATAATTGATGCATATATAACAGTAGAACTGCTTGATGGGTAATACTGGTAACATCATCAAAATATATAAAGCTGATTGGGACAATTATTGATTCACCCGAGGGGGGTACCGATGCTATAAAATCTAATGTCCAGGTAGACGACGCAACGTAAATTATAATTTTAAAGGAGATAAAAAGGAGAGATGTTTTACGTAAAAAGAAATAAAAACACCTCTTTTGTAATATAATACCGCTCACACTTAATAGAAATGCGCAGGACGCTCTACAAATGCAACACAATTTGCTAGGTTATGTAACACCCATTATTCTCCGCCTGTCATTGAAATAAATGGAAAAAGGATCGAATTTCCAGCGAAAGAGTTCAAAGAATCGGTGCGCGATTATTTAGTCGATTAAACTTTTTGCTGCCGTAAAATGCAAAGAATCGGATCTAATTAAAAGCGGAAAATAGTTGGCGTACAGTGGCGGTACTTTCTATTCTAGTATAACATACTTGGGGTAGTTCAACAAAATTAAAAAGTTAAAATTTTGACCAAGTGTACAACAAGCAGTTCAAATAAGATAAAGGAAGATAAGTTCTATTTCTGTTATTTTTGAAGAGCAGAGAGCTGGAGAGTGAAAAACGATAGTTATAGAAATAAAAAATATATATTGCAAGGTAGTTACAAGGGAAAATAAATTTTAAATACATTTTGAACCTAATCAAATAAAGAAAAAAGTCAAGTTTCTAAAACATCGATAAATATGAAAAAATAAATTTCAGGTGACTCAACCATTATTTTCGAGCAAGCTTAAAAATGATAATTATTCTTTTTTCACGTCAAGTAAATCGAACAAAACGCACTTCCGTAAAAAACTTTGAAAGAATGATTTTGCAACTATTTCATCCATTAAACTTTTTGCCTTCTGAAACCTCTTACAATTAAAACAGGAAGAAAGGGAAAAAATATTGCAAAACTGTAACAGCGAGCGCGTCCTAAATCCGCCGTTTTAACACATCGTCCATTATGGGCCTGTCACGTCGGCGATAATATATTCACCACCGAAATTTCTGATCCAATTTTAATGACCCATTGTTCCTATGCGATCGCATATTCCCGTCCGATTATTTCTGTTATTTTTGAAGTTCAGAGAGCTGGAAAGTGAAAAGCGGTAGCTATAGAAATATCCAACGTATGGTAGGGGAATACAAAAAACAATAAAATATATAACAATACAATAAATTTAGATTATACAACATCAATTTAGGACTAAAATTAATAAAATATTTACTATTCATGGGCATGAAATGAGTACACATAGATGCGATATACATGAAAAACTATTTAAGAATGACTTTACTAAATTAAAGTTAAACTGAAACAAAATATATATTACAAGAATCAAGGGAAAACAAATTTTAAATACATTTTGTACCTAATCAAAAAAAAGGAAAAAGTGAAGTTTCTAAAATATTGATAAATACGAAAAAATAAATTTCCGGTGACTTAACCATTATTTTCGAGCAAGCTTAGAAATGATAATTATTCTTTTTCAACGCCAAGTAATTCGAAAAAACGCATTTCCGTAAAAACTTTGAAAGAATGATTATGCCACTATTTCATCCATTAAACTTTTTGCCTTCTGAAACATCTTGCAATTAAAACAGGAACGAGAGGAAAATAATACAGAAACTGTAGTAGCGAGCGCGTCCTAAATCCGCCGTTTTTACACATCGTCCGTTATCGGCCTGTCACGTCGGCGATAATATATTCACCACCGAAATTTCTGATCCAGTTTTAATGACCCATTGTTCCTATGCGATCGCATATTCCCGTCCGATTATTTCTGTTACTTTTGAAGAGCAGAGAGCTGGAAAGTGAAAAGCGTTAGCTATAAAAATAGCCAACGTATGGTAGGGGAATACAAAAAAACAATAAGATATATAACAATACAATAAATATAGATTATACAACATCAATTTGGGACTAAAATTAATAAAATATTCACTATTCATGGGTATTAAATAACTAGAAATAGATGGGTTATTTATGAAAAACTATTAAATAATGGCTTTACTAAATTAGAGTTAATCTGAAACAAAATGTATATTGCAAGTTACACAAGGGAAAATAAATTTTAAATTCATTTTATAACCAAAAGAAAGAAAAAAGTCGAGTTTCTAAAATATTGATAAACATGGAAAAATAAATTTCAGGTAACACAACCATTATTTTCGAGTAAGCTTAAAAATGATAATTATTCATTTTCAACGTCAAGTAATTCGAAAAAACGCATTTCCGTAAAAACTTTGAAAGAATGATTGTGCGATTATTTCGTCCATTAAACTTTTTGCCTTCTGAAACATCTTGCAATTAAAACAGGAACGAGAGGAAAATAATGCAGAAACTGTGGCAGCGAGCGCGTCCTAAATCCGCCGTTTTTACACATCGTCCATCATCGGCCTGTCACGTAGGCGATAATGTATTCACCACCGAAATTTCTGATCTAATTTTAATGACCCATTGTTCCTATGCGATCGCATATTCCCGTCCGATTATTACTGTTATTTTTGAAGAGTAGAGAGCTGGAAAGTGAAAAGCCCTAGCTATAGAAATATTCAATGTATGGTAGGGGAATACAAAAAACAATAAAATATAAAACAATACAATTGAATATAGATTACAGAACATCAATTTTGGACTAAAATTAATAAAATATTCACTATTCATGGGCAAGAAATGAGTACACATAGATGCGATATACATGAAAAACTATTAAATAATGGCTTTACTAAATTAGAGTTAATCTGAAACAAAATGTATATTGCAAGTTACACAAGGGAAAATAAATTTTAAATTCATTTTATAACCAAAAGAAAGAAAAAAGTCGAGTTTCTAAAATATTGATAAACATGGAAAAATAAATTTCAGGTAACACAACCATTATTTTCGAGTAAGCTAAAAATGATAATTATTCATTTTCAACGTCAAGTAATTCGAAAAAACGCATTTCCGTAAAAACTTTGAAAGAATGATTGTGCGATTATTTCGTCCATTAAACTTTTTGCCTTCTGAAACATCTTGCAATTAAAACAGGAACGAGAGGAAAATAATGCAGAAACTGTGGCAGCGAGCGCGTTCTAAATCCGCCGTTTTTACACATCGTCCATCATCGGCCTGTCACGTAGGCGATAATGTATTCACCACCGAAATTTCTGATCCAATTTTAATGACCCATTGTTCCTATGCGATCGCATATTCCCGTCCGATTATTTCTGTTATTTTTGAAGTTCAGAGAGTTGGAAAGTGAAAAACGATTGCTATAGAAATATTCAACGTATGTTAGGGGAATACAAAAAACAATAAAATATAAAACAGTATAGGTTATACAACATCAATTTGGGACTAAAATTAATAAAGTATTCACTATTTATAGGCATTAAATGAGAACAATTAGATGCGATATATATGAAAAACTATTAAAGAATGCCTGTACTAAATTAGAGTTAATTTGAAACAAAATGTAAATTTGCAAGTTACAAGAGAAAATAAATTTTAAATACATTTTTTATAATCAAATAAAGGAAAAAGTCAAGTTTCTAAAATATCTATAAACATAAAAAAATAAATTTCAGGTGCCACAACCATTGTTTCGAATAAGCTTAAAAACGATAATTATTCTTTTTCTACGTCAAGTAATTCGAAAAAACACATTTCCGTAAAAACTTAAAAAGAATCATAGTGCGATTATTTCGTTCATTAAACTTTTTGCCTTCTGAAACATCTTGTAATTAAAACAGGAACGAGAGGAAAATAATGCAGAAACTGTGCAAGCGAGCGCGTCCTAAATCCGCCGTTTTTACACATCGTCCATCATCGGCCTGTCACGTCGGCGATAATATATTCACCACCGAATTTTCTGATCCAGTTTTAATGACCCATTGTTCCTATGCGATCGCATATTCCCGTCCGATTATTTCTGTTATTTTTGAACTTCAGAGAACTGGAAAGTGTAAAACGCTAGCTATACAAATATCCAACGTATGCTAGGGGAATACAACTTCAAATTTTTATTTTAAGTATATGGTTATACGACATCAATTTGTGACTAAAGTCATATTAAAGACATATACCGATTTGGTCATTTTATAAGTGTGATCTGGATTTTAACGCGTAAGGCCGAGAAAAATATAAATGACCGGTTGACAGACAGAAAGACAAAATCAAAAGCGGCATGCCGTGGTGCCGGTTTTTACGTTTGTAAGAAATTTTGTGTAGAAAAAAAATAACCTTTTTAAAAACTTTTATAATATATACTACTGATACGAAGATAATATATCTAAGCTAAATATAATCTATTACATCTGTAGTAAAATGAGTAACTAATTATGAAAAATAAGGGTTCAACCCTAAATGCAACATTTTCCATAAATGCCTACATGTGTGGTTTGAACTTTTGATGCAAAATCCGGCAATACCGCATAGAAGAAATGTATCAATCTTTTATCTCTTTTTAATACATTTTATTTTCCATTAAGCTGCCTACTGTCTTACACGTTAAAATCCAGACGGTGCAAATCCGGTTCTCGGAAACTTTGCTTTTCCGTTTGATATCGTGCTGAGATTTTGTCTTTTTTCCATGGTATTTCATGAAAAGTCTCTTATCATCTTTCACCGAGCTATAGCTTGCTAAATATGCCGCTATCAACAAGTATTTGGAGTAAAATGGAAGTTCAATATTTTCAGCTAAATTTTCTAACGGTCTTTTACTGTCATCTGTTGATACTCGCAAATAAAGTACTTCTAAAGAGCTTTTCAAAATGGGAGAGATATTTTTCCATAGTGCCATAGAGTTTTTCATACTTATTTCATTGCGGGCAATCGGTTCGCAGTATTTAATAAAATTACTTCTGCCCGTGTGTCTCAATTCACTGAGATCCCTGCACGCCCTATAGAACACCGACAGAAAAACGTTCAAGTAATTTCTGAAGAAGTCTTTGCCGAATTTGATCAGTTGGTTAAAGTTATTAGATACTAATTCCCGAACAAGATTGAAATCTAACGAAATAATTTCCAGCAGCTCGTCCTTGTTATACTGCGGAAAATGGATCTTAATAGGTTCGACGATGTTTAACCTAAAGTAATATTTCTCGAACAGGATCTCCGAGAGAAAAATTACCGAAACTGAAACGCCCGTTAACTCTTGTAACCTTAAAAAGCCTGGCAATGAATTACTCTCCATATTTCGGAGCTCCTCGGCTTTATCCATAATTATGACGGATCGGCTTAATAATATATCTAAGCTAAATATAATCTATTACATCTGTAGTAAAATGAGTAACTAATTATGAAAAATAAGGGTTCAACCCTAAATGCAACATTTTCCATAAATGCCTACATGTGCGGTTTGAACTTTTGATGCAAAATCCGGCAATACCGCATAGAAGAAATGTATCAACCCAACTTTTATCTCTTTTTAATACATTTTATTTTCTATTAAGCTGCCTACTGTCTTACACGTTAAAATCCAGACCACACTTCTAAAATGACCAAATCGGTATAGAGATCATAGACATCAATTAGACTAAACTTATGAGAAAATACATTTTCACTATTAAATATAATATTTATATATTTTATATTTAAAAACTTTATAAAAAAAATAAAGCCTGAAAAATATAAAATATAAGTCATTATATCATTTTAGTATATGCTATTAAAAAATTCAAGCCCTCTATGCATTTTAGTTCTTATACTTGACGCCGCCGCCGGGCCGCCATGAAAGATTGATAGAGATTACGGCATCAATACCATGATACTTTAAACGTTAAATGGGTTACAAGTTCAGTAGTAAGCTCGAATTCAATTTTGCAGGTATTAAGCGTTGTAAATTTTGATTGGATAAGATTAATGACCTGTTTTACATCTACTTAGTAGCAGCTCTAAGGTAATCCATCTGAAAATGAACACTTAACTGACTGATTGAGGTACGAGAATGGTCTGAAAAGTTTCCGACCTCAACGTGAAGATGGCAACACTCGTAGATAAAAGCTAGTGAATTTTCATTGTTTATCTGTTGACAATTATTCACCAAAGTCTCAGCCATTTTGGATGCGCAGTTGTTATGTAACAGTCGTTTGAGTGAGTTGATGTCAGTGTTTTTGTGAAAATGGACAAAATCGAGTATCGAGCTGTCATTAAATATTTGGTTTTGAAAGGCAATACGCCTACACAAATTAAGCATGAGTCGGATTCTGTGCATGGAGACTATGCACCATCATTTACTACAGTGAAATGTTGGGCAGCTGAATTTAAACGTGGCCGTAAGAGCTTGGGAGACGATGAACGTTCGGGACGTCCAAAAACTGCAACTACCGACGATAACATCGCCAAAGTTCACCAAATGGTGCTAGACGACCGCCAAATTAAAGTGAGAGAGATAGCAGAGGTTATGAACATATCAAAAAAACGTGTTTGTCACATATTAAATCAAGATTTAGGCATGAGAAAGATGTCCGCGCGTTGGGTGCCGCGTTTGCTCACGTTAGACCAAAAGCGTGTTCGTATGAACATTTCCAACGCTATGTTAGCTCAGTTTAGGCGCAATAAATCCGAGTTTTGGCGTCGATTAATTACTGTAGATAAAACTTGGATACACCACTATACAGCAGAAACAAAAATACAGTCCAAACAGTGGACGGCAAAGGGAGAACAGGCCCCAAAAAAAGCAAAAACTGTTATTTCGACTGGAAAAATGATGGCGACTGTTTTTTGGGATAGTCATAAAGTTATTTTAATTGATTATCTTCAAAAAGGAAAAACCATCACAGGGGCATAGTACGCATAGTACTTGACAAGCTAAAAGCAGAACTTACGGAAAAACGGCCACATTTACAGAAAAAGAAAATCCTGTTTCACCAAGATAACGCACCGTCTCACACCTCAGCGGTTGCCATGGCGAAAATCCACGAATTACGGTTTGAACTGCTTGACCATCCGCCTTACTCACCAGATCTAGCCCCTAGCGACTTCTTTTTGTTCCCTCATTTAAAAATTGCGCTCGGAGGACAGAGATTTTCGTCAAATGAAGAGGCAATCACCTTTGTGAACCACTATTTTGCAGAGAAAAACGCCGAGTACTACTTGGACAGGTTACAGAGATGGGAGCATCGCTGGGAAAAGTGTGTAGAGTTACAAGGGGACTATGTTGAAAAATAAAATAAAATATTCAGAAAAAATGTCTTGTATCTTTGTTAGGTCGGAAACTTTTCAGACCTCCCTCGTAACTAGGTAATTTAAATTGTTTTCTGCAACTACGACTCTCTAACTGTTAATCGGAGCTCTTCATCTAATCATAAATTTTTAATTCTGTGCTTACTTTAACCTTAAGGTTAGGCGCAAATAGAGTCGCGTGTATAGCGTGTGACATGACCTAGCGCGACGCGAGTTAGAGGTACAAAAAAGTTATGCCCAATAATAATGTACTAAACAATTAAGATTAAAAGTTTAAAACCTGGAGCGTAGCTATGTATTTTTACCCATTGGACATACTTGTGGTTATGTAGAACATTGAAACAGCATTATTATAAATAAATAAGTTTATTCTCTACAAATATTGGTACATTTTTTTTGGTAAATTGTACAGTTTACAAAAATAATTAAACAAACCCTTAGACTATTTTTTTAAACGATCATAGACGGTAATACTGTTTAAATTACGATATGTAACAATATTAGACTACATGTGACTGAAGTCATTTAAATATTTTCTTATATTGAAACCGACCATTTTCGATAGACTATGAATGCAATAAAAGTTAACGTTACACTTGTATTTCCTCCCATCGAGCGTGGTATTGTCAGATGCAAGCGATAAAAGCTGCAGTTACTGCAGCTAAACTCGACACTTGCACTAGTAGATGATTATTAAAACCAACTTTATCCTGCAAAATGGAATAATATATTGCCAACAATCTATCCAAAGTAAATACACCCGGTCCCATCTGAGTGTTCAGTTTCTCGGAAACCTTGCTTTTGCGTTTGATATCGTGCTGAGATTTTGTCTTTTCTTCATGGTATTTCATGAAAAGTCTCTTATCATCTTTCACCGAGCTATAGCTTGCTAAATATGCCGCTATCAACAAGTATTTGGCGTAAAATGGAAGTTCCATATTTTCAGCTAAATTTTCTAACGGTCTTTTACTGTCATCTGTTGACACTCGCAAATAAAGTACGTCTAAAGAGCTTTTCAAAATGGGAGAGATATTTTTCCATAGTGCCATAGAGTTTTTCATACTTACTTCATTGCGGGCAATCGGTTCGCAGTATTTAATAAAATTACTTCTGCCTGTGTGTCTCAATTCACTGAGATCCCTGCACGCCCTATAGAACACCGACAGAAAAACGTTCAAGTAATTTCTGAAGAAGTCTTTGTCGAATTTGATCGGTTGGTTAAAGTTATTAGATACTAATTCCCGAACAAGATTGAAATCTAACGAAATAATTTCCAGCAGCTCGTCCTTGTTATACTGCGGAAAATGGATCTTAATAGGTTCGATGATGTTTAACCTAAATTAATATTTTTCGAACAGGATCTCCGAGAGAAAAATTACCGAAACTGAAACGCCCGTTAACTCTTGTAACCTTAAAAAGCCTGGCAATGAATTACTCTCCATATTTCGGAGCTCCTCGGCTTTATCCATAATTATGACGGATCGGCTTAGACTCTTGGGATACATTCTGTAAATGGTCTATTGTTTATTGCAACTACGAACTCTATCTGTTAATTATACCCCTCTCATATCTAATAATAATTTTTTAGTTTGTTTACCTACTTAAACCTTAACCCTTAATAACATTACCTGAATTTTATTAATGCTAATTTGTATGCAAAATTATCATGTTTTTTATACTATAAAATGGTAGTACTACTATCAGGATATTTATCTACATTGTCACCTTCAGTTATGTTATATATCAGTTATGTTCTTAAAATGCTGAACAACAATTAAATTCAAAGTTAATGCTTAATAATAAAGTTCTATTTAACAATTACAATTATAAGAGTTCAAAACCTGGATCTTAGCTACGTATTTTTACACATTGGTCATAATTGTGATTATGTAGAATAATGAAACAGCATTATTAAAAACAAATAAGTTTATTCTCTACAAATATAGGTACATTTTTTGGTAAATTGTACAGTAGACAAAAATAATTAAACAAACTCAGACTATTTTTTTAAACGATCATAGACGGTAATACTGTTTAAATTACGATATGTAACAATATTAGACTACATGTGACTGAAGTCACTTAAATATTTTCTTATATTGAAACCGACCATTTTCGATAGACTCTGAATGCAATAAAAGTTAACGTTACACTTGTATTTCCTCCCGTCGAGCGTGGTGTTGTCAGATGCAAGCGATAAAAGCTGCAGTTCAACTAAACTCGACACTTGCACTAGTAGATGATTATTAAAGCCAACTTTATCCTGCAAAATGGAATAAAATATTGCCAACAATCTATCCAAAGTAAATATACCCGGTCCCATCTGAGTGTTCAGTTTCTCGGAAACTTTGCTTTTCCGTTTGATATCGTGCTGAGATTTTGTCTTTTTTCCATGGTATTTCATGAAAAGTCTCTTATCATCTTTCACCGAGTTATAACTGGCCAAATATGCGGCTATCAACAAGTATTTGGCGTAAAATGGGAGTTCAATATTTTCAGCTAAATTTTCTAAAGGTCTTTTACTGTCATCTGTTGTCACTCGCAAATATAATACGTCTAAAGAGCTTTTCAAAATGGGAGAGATATTTTTCCATAGTGCCATAGAGTTTTTCATACTTATTTCATTGCGGGCAATCGGTTCGCAGTATTTAATAAAATTATTTCTGCTCGTGTGTCTCAATTCACTGAGATCCCTGCACGCCCTATAGAACACCGACAGAAAAACGTTCAAGTAATTTCTGAAGAAGTCTCTGTCGAATTCGATCGGTTGGTTAAAGTTATTAGCTACTAATTCCCGAGCAAGATCGAAATCTAACGAAATAATTTCCAGCAGCTCGTCCTTGTTATACTGCGGAAAATGGATCTTAATAGGTTCGACGATGTTTAACCTAAAGTAATATTTCTCGAACAGGATCTCCGAGAGAAAAATTACCGAAACTGAAACCCCTGTTAACTCTTGTAGCCTTAAAAAGCCTGGCAATAAATTACTCTCCATATTTCGGAGCTCTTCGGCTTTATCCATAATTATGACAGATCGGCTTAGACCAAACTTTTCGGAAACCTTCTGTAAATGGTCTATAAAATCCATAAAATTATCGCATTTGGCGTAAGGTGCTCCCGTGGATAGATCCAACTCATGTCCGGTAAGCTGATCCAAAATCGACTCGAATAAAATCTTTGCTGTGTAACACTCGATCAAATTGACTTTAGCGTGTTTGATATCCAGAATTTCCAAAAACTTTGTAACTATAGCAGTTTTTCCTGTACTGGGACCGCCGTAAATGTAAACTGTAGGTGGGAAAACCTCGTCGACGTGTCCAAATAAGTTCCAGAGTTGCTGGATTTGATTTTCCCGGCATGGAAAGGTTTGGCACAGCGCCGACTGCTTGCTCGCCATTGATAAGAAGTCTAAAACAAAGGAGTGGCGTTAATTGGGATTCTCGCCAGTCTATCCTCTAAGGATTGAGACAGAGTTCGGATTAGGAATAATGAGGTGGGATGGAAGAGATGGACGTTAATCGGGAAGAGTAGAAAATTGAAAATGGGTTTGAAAACAGATTTTTAAAGGCGTTAAAAAGTTTCTAAAAAAGATTTTGTTACGAAGAGTAATTAATGCTCATAAAATTAAAAAGAAAATGAGAGGATTTTAATACTTTCTTTTGGCAAGAATTTTTATCGATAAATTTTAAATTAAGTATATACTAATTAAATCATTGTGGCGAATATATTTAAATTAATTTTTTAATCGTTTTAAAATTTCATTTTTTAAAAAGCCTAAGGTAACGAAAATAAAAATATTATAGGAGAAAAAATATTGATTTAATAAAACAAGAAAACAATTTTTTCAGTTATTGTTTCATATATTATACCTAATAATAAATGCTAAATATAACCAAAGAGTTTTTAAAAAGCCTAAGGTAACGAAAATAAAAATATTATAGGAGAAAAAATATTGATTTAATAAAACAAGAAAACAATTTTTTCAGTTATTGTTTCATATATTATACCTAATAATAAATGCTAAATATAACCAAAGAGTTTATTACAGATGAGGGTTGGAACCTCTGGTGTTAACAGCAAAATAAAAAAAAACACTAAATCATCACAATACACAAAAACACTTTTACTTTTACACTGGACGCGATGTTAGCATCATCAGCAGATGATTATAAACTCAAAGTTAGTTTATATTCATCTGCTGATGATGCTAACATGGTTAGCGAAACGAAGTAAAAGTGTTTTGGTGTATTGTGGTGATTTAGTGTTTTTATTTTGCTTTCAAAGAGTTTATACTAAAATATAAGAAAAAAATATTAACAATAATCTTTAATATAAGCGAGGATATAAAGTATACAAGTTATGATGTCACATGTATGATTTTGATAATATCCTTGTAAACAAGGATAATATGTCATTGTACTGCATATATTTTTTATTATTATATATTTTCCATTATTTTTTTAAAAACAATAAAAAAATGTGATTGTGTAGGTGGTTAATACACTGAAACCAATAAATGTCAACAAAGATGTTAATCATTTTATAACTACAGGTTCTAATAACTAAGAGTTAATTAGCAATTAAAGTTATATATATAAAAAAATATGAAACGCACAAAACAAACCCAAATATTTACTTACTATTTGCGTTTTATAAAAAAAATGAATGTATTTACAACTTTTTTATATATTTTTTTATTAAGTCCATTCACCAAAATATTAACAAAAAACGTATCCATCATAATGTCTACAAATTTGACAAACATATCTGTTGTACTTGATGTTCTTTTACTATATTCAAGTAATTCCAATATATTGTGACAACATTAAGTGCCAAATTGTTATTCAACATAATTGACTGATTTTATTACTCTTTAGTACTAGGTATATATTTTATTGAAATTAAATCCTTCATTCGTACTTGTATTGTTAAGGTTATGTTTATATGGATAAATCTTAATAGAAAATGGACTAAATATTAAATAAAAATAAAATTACCTTTCTTCCTATGTATCAGTACTTCTAATTTTATACACCAAAGACTTAATGTAACCTAAATAAAGTTAAAATTTGTAAACACGTAGGTAAGAAACACAATAACAATAATAATACAGCATGAAACAGCTGAAAATACTTTTGGCGGGAGTTTCATTTACTTTCTCTATTTCAATATTCCCATCTTATTTTATCTCATATATAAAGGCGTGAATGTACCGACTACTGTAATAGGTAGGGTACTACGTCGCTCCACCGTTTAGTTCGACTGATTTCACTATTCGTTACAAGATGACTCTGCGCGTCATAAATAGATCACATAGAGAAATAAATAACCACTAACCTTTTGTTTTATAACAGATTAAAAATAATTTCGTTTAAAGAATAAACGAGTTAATATTTTTGGAAATAAATTAATGAAATGTTGATGGTTGGAATAAACAAATGTATATAATTTACTTAACAATAAAAGCAACAATAAAATAATATATTGTATATATTTCTAATTATTTTATAATATTTATAATACAAAAATATTTAGCACATTGTTTATGAATTATTTAGATTCACTATCAAAAAATTCCAGCGTTTTTAGAAAATTATTATAGATAATTAAAAACATACTGGTTTATAATACAAAAATTTACTCTCTTGTATCAAATTTTAAAACAAGCATTAAACAAAATACCTAAATGATAATTTTAGCAAAATAAAACACTAAATCAGTGTAAAAGTAAAAGTAATAAAAAAATACAATAAATACAAATACAGTGTAAAAGTAAAAGTGTGTTGGTGTATTGTGGTGATTTAGTGTTTGATTTTGCTGTGTAACACCAAAGGTTCCAACCCTCAACTGTGATAATTTTAGTTTAAAGCCAATGAAAACTGCTTATCTATTATATACAGGATGTGTCTTAAATAAGTGCAAATATTTTCAGGGCTGGTAGATCTCGATAAACGAAACATATTTATATCTTTACCTTTTTTAAAATAAGTTCAAAATAACCGAGTTATTCAAGTTTGAAGACTTAAAAAAGATTTAATTTTAATGAAATTTAGGAGTCACAGGATTTTTTCTGTATTTTCATTCTTTTTAGTGGTAAATGGTAATAGCTGAGATTAAGAAATAATAATATGGAAAAATTTGCGGTGAACAGGCAGTTCGAAACTTACTGGCGTGTTCTTGGACTCGAAATATACCACCCATAAAAATAGTTGCACTTTTTTAAGACTCACCCTGTAGTCTTTACATGATGTAAAAAACAGCGTCAAGTTGACTTTGGAATTACAGTCTAGGGGATCTCTGAGATCTCATATTATTTAACATATTATAAATGACAACAATCTTTGTTCCTAGCCAATTCAGATGCCTTTTTTTCAATAAGTTATGTTTAAAATTTGTTGTATCTAATGAGCAATGAATAAATACACACATACATAACTTTGTTATTATGACTTACTATTATTAATAAGCTTGTTCGGAAAGTTAAGATTGGTGCAGATGCTCCAGCGTTCTATTTTTAAAGCAATTCTTTTATTGGAATTTCCGCCGTAAAAATTCTGATTTACGTCATATATATTTTTACGACTTTTTGCCTCCCTTGGTGGAGATTTACTTAAATATCTTTAAACTATATTTTCTGTTTTATGATCTCACTTAAATGTAAAAACTTAAAAATTGAGAGCAGTAAAGAAGTTCAAGCAAAAATAAGCGATTTTAAATTAAACGTCGAGTTCGTCTACAAATTTAATTTCTTAAAGTGGAACATAATAATAATGGAAAAGTATGTTCTAGAAAAGCATAGAAATAGTCAGAAACTATTAAAAAATTAATAAACAAGGCATTAAGAATATAATTTGAAATAAGCATAATGCAGCTTATAAATTATCGCTTGTTAGATAAAGGAAGTGTATGAGAATTCTAATAAAAATTTTTCGATTAGTATCAAAAACAGAACACAGGGTAATCGAAATACTTCCAGATATTAATTTTTATTCAAATTTCGACATCAGTTCAAAAATTATTTCGAAAAAATCCAAATAAAAATGAAACTTCTACACCCTGTATCTCAGAAAGGAACCATTTTAGGACACTAGTTTATATGAACTTTTTTACTTATTTTTATGTGCAGAATATGTTGCCGAAGTTTCCAGAATATAGTTCGGACCACACTGTATAGCATCTGTTACTCATGTGCGCTGTTTCATTATTGTATTAGGTATCTTGTCTCTTATGGATATACCAATTGAAATTAACAATAACTACCTGATAACAATTACTTAATTAGGTAAAACCAAAAGTCTTTTAACTTCCTGTATATCATTTTTTTATGTTTTTGATTTTTACTTACTACGTTATTTTTATTTATGTTATGTTTACTAAAATTAAAGAAACGATAGCCATACATTAACTACCTCTACAGATCCCTGACCAATAGGTACATTTATTTATAGGACGACTAGCGTGTACCCGCGACTTCTGTCGCGTCGAATTAATCATTTCTAATGGTGATGATAAAGCAAAGCAAGAATTTTATTAACATACAAACTGGATAAAATTTTCTCAAATTTATGAGCATGAGAAAAAAAAATATGGCGATATTATTATATTTTGGCAGTTACTAGTAGGTAAATATGAAAGATAAAAATCATCTTCACCTCATTTCACCTCCTTAAGGGTAGTTTGAAAAAAGTACTGCGATAACAAAAGAAATATAAGAGCCTTATTTAAGTACCTCTTCGTAAACCACGTTTTTTGTTGCATTTTCTGGCTGTAAAATAGCCAAGCTATTACGCGAACTTAGTCTAGAGCACGCGACACAGAGTTGACCATGGGAAAAGCTCCAGCTCTACTTAAAGATTGCCCTTGAACTTTGTTGATTGTCAGCGTTTTCCCGAAAGACTAACCGTTTTTTAAATAACAAATATTGTAATATTTGAGGGGCGTTTTCACCCTCTTGGAATTTGAGATTCGAAACCCCTCCTTATCGAATCTCTACACCCCACAGTCAATCCGTTTCCCAAAAATCAGCTTTAAACTTCAAGCAGTTTAAGCAGAATCGTGATTACTCAATGGTCATATTTTATGAAACACCCTGTATAAATTTTTTAAAAATCTTAAAATATTTAAAATAATGAAATAAAATATACGTGGTTAAGAGTTTTTCCGAAAAACTCACCGGTTTTTAAATAAAAAATATTCTAATATGTGAGGGGCGGTTTCACCCCCTTAGAATTCGAGTTTCAAAAAATCCCTTCTTATCGAACCTCTACACCCCAAAAGTCAATCCGTTTTCCAAAAATCAGCTTTTTATGTCAAGCACTTTAAGCAGGATCATGATTAATCAATGACCAGATTTTTCGAAACACTCTGTATACATTTTTAAAAAATCTTAAAATATGTAAAAAAACAAA